CATTATACATATTTGTGTGTCTCTTTTGCTTTTTTTTTTTAGAATGATACTTTTGCTGATTTTGATAGCATGACTGATCGTCTTCTGGATGAAATAATACAGTATATTCAGATATATAGTCTAACAGTCTCAAAAATAAGGTAATTTCTGTCTTATTACACAATTTATATTTCTATGAATTATAGAAACAGAATTTGTGGTAGTTTTGTTGCCCTTTTTGGAAATATCAGAACACAACTTAAACCAATTAAAAAGAAAAGAAATAAAAGGTTATAGGGAAAAACCGCATATTGTATGATTCCATATATGTTAAATATCCAGAACAGGCAGATCTGTAGAGACAAAGTAGATTAGTGCTTGCCTAGGGCTGAGAGGAATGGGAACGTAGGAAGATAATAGCTAAGGGTGACTGAGTTTCTTTTTGAAATGGTGAAAGTATTCTAAAACTGATTTTGGTGATGATTACAAAACTGTGTATATACTAAAAACAATTTAATTTGACGCTTTAATGAGTGAATAATTTGATGTCTTAGTATCCTAGTGGTGCTGCAACAGAAATACCACAAATAGGTGGCTTAAAGAACAAAAATTTAATTTCTCACAGTTTGGGAAGCTAGAAGTCTGAATTCGGGGCACTCAGTAGCCCTAGGTAAAGACGCTTTATCTGGCAGCTCCTGGGGAAAGATCTTTGGCAATCTTCATGTGGCATCTTTCTTCCTGTTTGTTGTTTCTGTGTCTAATCTGCTCTTTTTAAGACTAAGAAATAATTAGGTTCGGTATACAGCCTATACTGATAAACCTCATTAATACTGCAAAGGAAAGTATTTACAAATAGGATTTTAGCCACAGGTCCAGGGGTTAAAATTTAAACAATTGTTTTTGGGAGAACACAATTTATTCCATAATATAATATGAATTATTATATTTAATTAAATCCATTCCAAGAAAAAGGTTATAGGCAAACATACATTTGAACAGAAGGAACAACAAAAATACCTTCAAAATGTCATGACTATCATTTGTGAATCTGTTTTCCATGAGCAAGAAGTTGAAAATCAAACCAATATGTTTTATTACTTAATTAGATGAAAAAGGGGCATGGAAGATTGATTGTTTCTTTTAGTCTTTGTTGTTGTTGTTATGTGCCATAGAGTCGGACCCGACTCATAGCAACCATTCCTTGGATTTCTGAGGCGGTATCACTATGAAGTAGATTTCCCAACCTTCCTTCTAGTAGGAGTTAAAGAAAAAGGCAAAACTGGTTCAAAAATGGTAGAAGACACAGATTACATTCATATTATAACTAGGTTAGAGGAAGAACCTGGCTCTGCTTGCTACAGAGTTTTATAGTTTGTTTCTTGTTTGAAGTGTAGGCTAGGGAATAAAAAGAGATTTAAAAAAAACTCAACTGCCCTGAGTCAATTACAACGCATAGTGACTGCTCCTTAGGTTTCCAAGGCAGTATCTCTAAAAAGAG